GGACAGAGCCTGGGCCGGGCAGGGGACGCGGGCGGCCTGCGGCGCCCGCTGGAAGCGAGGGGGCGCTGGCGGTTGAACGCGTCCGCGGAGCTGCTCCTGCAGCGGGAGGCGCCGCCGCTGCCGGCCGGGCGAGGGCCGAGCTAGTTAGGAACTGCCTTCAAGCCTAGACGCTGTTTGTCCCCAGCAAGGAAAAAGTGATGAGCTTTCAGACGGTGGTTTTCAAAGGCTCTCTCAGTTGAATGAGGCCAACACTTTTCAGAATTCTGTTTTAAATTTTAGAGATTCCTGTTTGTGAGGAGCCCAAAAGCTGCAAAAGAAATCTGACAACGTCTGGCATCTGTCAGTTTGTGAGGTTAGGTTTCTTTGGAGCCATTAGTGACATCTGAATTTTTGGAGAAATTTCTGTTACTGCCTTGATTACGAAATATGGTTATCGCTGTTGCTCTCTGTTGGCCAAAGATAACACCACAGTCGCACACCAGCCCCTAGATATGTGCACAGTTTTTTGACACCAAGCGTACTTCCTTAATATTGAGCTGATAAGAAAATGCAGGAGACTTGTAGCCATTTTTTTAAGGCAGGTTATCCATTTTGCTAAATGTCCCAGGGAGAAATCATGTATTAAAAACTAAAGGGTATCTCTAAATCAGTTGGATTGACCTATATAAAGTGTCGTCTTAAACTCACACGTCCTTATGTACTTTTTCCTGTAACTGAAGACTGTGTTCCCTGGTCTCATTCAGTTTATTGAAATGCTAATATGGAGAGTTCCTGCAGTTTGCCCTCATTTTCCCAAAATGCCTTATTTCCCTGAACCAACTCCTAGGAGGAAGCCAGAAGTTTCTGAATAAGCAGACTACCCTGGAAGAGAGCATTGTATTTCAGAAGCTGAGTTTGCAAAGTTAGATTAGTCTCTAGTTGGTGGATTTTTGTTGGGAGATGTTTTGGAGTAGTTGGCCTGGCTGATGAGGGTCCTGAGTGTTAACACTAGTCCTAGAGAGGGTGGTTATTCATGCTGGTCTTAGAGAGTGGGCAGCGGGAAGTGGAATAGAACAGGGATAGAAACTGGTCCTGTTTAAGTTTTTAAATTATCTGTTCATTTTTCTTTTTATTTTATCTAGTAAGATTTCTTGCAAGTTTCAACCCATCTCAGCTCTACCAAGTGGAGTCATTGAAAGGCTTTGTGCCCACAGTTAGCTAGGGCCTTTCCTGGGGCATAGGGCACCCCTGCAGGCTGGCATGGAGGTGAGTGCAGCAGTGTTTCAAAAGGGACGGTTCCCAAGGAGAGGTGACAATAAGAGGACAAAATCGAGTGATCTTAGTCTTCTCTAGAACCTGCTGTTATTAGAGATTTTATCCAGGGGTGAAGCTTAGCTGTTAGAGATTTTATTGAGAGCCTCGGTTAAGCATGACCAGCACCTTGCTTAATAGGAATTCATCCCGTAATTGAAGGGTCCTCTCTTGTCAGTGAAACTGCTCAGGGCAAGACAGCCTTGCTTAGGTTGGACCTGAGAGCTGCATAGGCGGAGCTTACTCTGTGCACGGTGTTGCTGTACCCCTCCAATGGATTTACAGAAAAGACCCAATTACTAGAAGTCTCAAGTTGTGTATGGCATTGTGAGGTAATAGACATGGTAAAGAGCTAAAATGTTAAGAAGGATGAAATAAATGCCAGAGGCGTAGTGTGCTGTGGGAGCAGAGAGATCAGTTCTCTGGAGGACTTGGGGAGGGTCACATTTGGGCTGGACCTTGAGCAGAGAGTAGAATTTAAACAGGGGGAGGAGTGGAACGGGGCATTTCTGGGGGTGGACACCATGGGCCAAGTTAAGAAGCTTAAAATGTAACTGTGTTCTGAGATAAGGGAGCCCTGATAGGCTGAGGCTGGACTTGGTGTAAGGTTGCTTGGAGAGCGAGGCTGTCTGGAGATAAACTCTACATTTTGCTCAAGGTTCTGATATTTTTTTAATTAAAGCAAACAAAAGCAGAGGGAATAGTATAATGATCTTCCATATATCCATCAAATATATTTAACAATTTGTTACCACAATTTCTTTTTTGGCCATATTTGCTTCATCTTTTTTGTTGTTGTTGAAGCAGTTTAAATTCCAGACAGCATGATATTTCACCCCTAAGTAGCACAGTATGTACCTCCAAAAAGGGAGCGTTTTCCTATGTAAGCATAATACCATTGTCACTTCCTAATCAAATGACAGTAATTCCTTATTGTTTCCTAAAACTCAGTCCATAGTCAGATTTCCCTGATTGCCTCAGAAACATCTTACTTTTACTGTTGGTTTGTGTGAATCAGAATCCAGACGAGGGCCTGTCTTGACATGAGTACAGCCATGTTTGGCCGCTCCATTGACCTACAGCCACCAGCACAAAAAAGAAATACAAAGCTGCTTTCTGTGTGGTGGGAACTGGCCTTTTCCCGGGAACTGGCCTTTCTCCCACGGAGAGAGTTGCAAGTTGTAACATTTCAAGGCTCTTGGAGCGTCCTGGCCCGGAATGGACTGGCCATCTGTGCCGGGCTAGGACGATAACCAAAGA